CTCCAAGACATGCTGTTTGCACAGAACGTGATCTGGTGTGTGAGAAAAAGTTGGGTACATTCCAGCCTGTGAATTGTACACTACCATAGCATAAGGACACAACATAGTCACTGCCACTGATGGAAGCACTGGAAATGTCCTGGGATTCAGTGAGGCCAGGTCCAGGCTAGGTGGTCCTTCCCACCACAGAGATGCACAAACTGCAACCTGGCCACCTCTAGCTGACTTTCCACCCCTGTGCCATGCCTGGCCTACAGAAGAGAGATAGGAAGGCATCAAGGATTTCTCTGTGCCTCCTCACCCAGCTGCAGGGCAGCTCTGCTGAAGCTCAGATATGGACAAATCCATACCTTCCTGCCCCAAAGGTGGTTGCAGCACCAGTCCACAAGATGGAAAACCAAGCCACACACTTTCCCATCCCATATTATTTAACAGAAGTATCAACCTTATGCATGGCATTATCATGTCTGTCTTGTATTTAAAAACAATATCATTTTTCTTATTAGTCAAAGGGTAAGAAGAGGTCACACAAACCATTACAGAGCCTAAAAGCCAAATATTAATTTTAAAAGACTGTAACAGCTTTGTGATCTGCCAAAAAAAAAAAAAAAAAAAAAATCTCCATTTCAGATGATGTCTTACATGCACTGGCTTCTCAGTAAAAGGAATTTTCCTTTTCATTATTATTTACTGACTGTGCTTATATTTCATTTGTATGGATTTTATCCAGCAAAACAGGGGAAAAGAAAGCAGCCTCAGAAAAATTTAATAAAAAGATGGAGACAGTGAACAATCATTGGAGTCTGTATCTTGACTCTTGAGGTCATATTTCTATTTCTTTTATTATGTTCATTTCAGGGAAACAAAAGGCATCCTGGATGGGAACAAATCAGAGCTGATAATGGCATGGATACTTTCTTCAGGAGCAGCAGTGCCCAAAAACATGTCTGTGACGAAATCAAAGAATTCACCCTCAGCTGTTAAGCTTGAACAGCCAGTTTGTCACACAAATAAATATTAAAAATCCCCAAGACTTTTTAGCAGCTTCCTAGTCCAACTGCGGATACTCTCACATGGCTGAGTCAAGATCTGTGTTTGCAGCACACACTGGCCCACGTCACTCTCCCAGCAGTGTCCCCTCAGAGGGCTGTACTGGGACCAGTGCTGTTCCACTTCATCAATGACAGAGGGAGCAAGTTCACCCTCAGCAAATTTGCAGATGACACCAAGCTGAGTGGTGCAGCTGGCACACCTGAAGGACAGGAATGTCATCCAGAGGGACCTGGACAAGCTCAAGAAGTGGGCCCAGAGATATTTTGTTGTGGCCTTTCAGTGTTTATAGGGGGCTTACAAGAAAGATGGGGACAGAGTTTTTAGTAGAGTGCTCAGTGACAGGACAAGGGGTAATGGTTTTAAACTAAAAGGTAAAGTCAGACTGGATTCAAGGATGAAATTTTTTACAGTGAGGGTAGTGAAACACTAGAATAGGCTACTCTGACATGTGATAGATGCCCAATCCCAAAAATCTGACAAGGAAAAAAAAGTGTCAAAAAATATGGGTGGAATTAACACTATGTTAGGTGAAATGTGTTTGTTTGTGGTTTTGTGATTTGTTACATGATCTAAAGCCTAATTTTAAATGCTAATGTTTGTCAAGAGTTGCTGATAAAAGTGAGTTGTCCTAATACTTCGTATGTGGGAATGTTATAGAAGTGCATGGAAGGGAAGAGAACCCCTGGCAAAATCAAACCCTGACACAGGAGATAGCAGACAGCTTTGTCTGAACAGCAGAATCGTGCAAGAACTGAAGATTAGCCACTTCTTTTTCTCTTTATCCCTTGGCTTCAAACACACATGAGTCTTTGACTCCACTATAGTCATGGAGAGTGATGGGTAGCTGTAGTTTATTGCTTTTCCTGTTACTTTTTAAGTTTGCCATCGTGTGTTTGTAACCCTGCTGGGTTGCAAAGAATGGTTTTATCTTGGTAACTGCTTTGTTTGCTGTAAAGCAGATAAAAAGCTGCATGATCCTTGTGGTTGGCACTTGCAGGAGATTTTTAAAGTAGAGGTGAAGTAGCTGCTGGCAATCCCTCAGGCAGAGTGTTCTCCCATTCCCTGGCTGCAGTGTTCAGAGGAGGAGGTGAGCACACCATTCCTCAGTCTTGCACTGATTTCTGGTGGTGACCAAATGAAGGGCATGAGCAGGGATTAATTTTATTGACTGCTAATGAGTGACAGTAATGCTGTCAAGTGATGGTAACCAATAAAGAACAAGGATATTTGAGTGTGTAAAGGCTAATTATTCTAGTGGTAAAGCTCTTCTGTTTTGTGTGTGTATTTGTGTCTTACCATTTTGTGAATACAGTGTTGAAGAGAGAGATTTTGGAAAACCACATCCTAGTCTCTTGATAACTCCCTGAAATTTGGGCAGTAGGGAATACAGCTCAGTAAAATGATCTATCTTTTTGTTCTTGCTGTAACTGATTGCAAGGATATGTTAAAACAGAGAATGAGAAATACTGGCTGGTCTTCCTATTCTGGAGGTAGAAGCATCACACCTGAAACCTGCCATTACCTAATTTTAATTTCCAAGAACATGCTTGTGGATTTCTTCTTTTAGAAATAATACTCCCCTTGCTCCATTCTTTTGTAGGTATATTTAAATCAAAGTCTCTTTTTTTAATAAGAATAGAGGCAGTTTATCATGCTTCTGGGGCAGCCTACAATTTGATTCCTCCCTGAATCGTAGGCAAGACATAAAAATATATTGTAGGTATTGATAACTAACTGAGCAACATGCTGAATGTGCCCTATCTAGTTTGGCTGTTGATACTAATCTAGGGTTTTTCTTCCCCTTGGAATCAGAGCATGGTAAGCTTTAATTAAAATTTGTTAGTGCTTCTTTTTATTGAGAGTTTTGTAAGAATAATGGTACAGTCACAACTTAAGAGTCCCACAAACCAAGCGCTCGTTCTTGGTAAGGTTTATTTAGGCCTTGTATTGGTCAAATCTCAATAAAATATAACATTTCCTTAAGTTGTACCATAAAATAAATACCTGGTTAGCTTCTGATAGGGTCAGACTAATGCTTTAGAGCACATTTGATCATGATTGAGTTATGCTTTGTTTTCTAATATTGTAATTGCCAGCTTTTCAATCACAGCCTAGAGTATGAACATGAAAAAATAATATAATATGCATTTTTAGTACGTATATTATTCCTGTTACAGAGATTCTGCAGTTAAATTTAAGAGCGCTTTTAATGACGCATTAGGCAGAAGAGAATCCATCACCTATTCCTGTACAGCCTCCCTGAACACTTTTTCAGAGCTACATGAAAATTCTAGGGATACAACCCCAAACACCTGTCAAGAGTCAAAGAACACACAAAAGGTCTTGATTAGTAGAGATGTAAAGGTTCTAGAAACCTCCTCAGCTTATCAATCACCTACATCATCTCCACTCATTCAGCAATTAAGAACTGACTGCATGATGCCTCTTCTCATGGCCAGTGCCACTCATACAGCTCATCTACACATTTCCTTGATAAATTCTCTCATAAATAAGGCAGACTTTGTTAAAAATCAGTTCAGTGGAGGCTATTTGTAATGAATCGCAGAACTCCATTTGGCTTGTCAGACAACATTTCATTACAGTGTCACTGAATTACCTTGTCATCACCCTTCGACTTAGCTGGACTTCTTGCCTTAAAATTCAGTTTTGTCCCAAGTGAGAAGCAAACTGCAGTCTTTGGCCCTTTTCCCAAATCTCACAATCCTGCTGCTGTAAACGTGCACCTAACAGAGCACCCCAGTGAGCACAGTCAAGATATCATAAAGCCACTGCAGTTCAGTTACTAATGACAGCTCCAAAAGCAGGAAGAGAGCAGAGGACCCATAAAACTGACTATGAAGGTTCTCTTAGGAATCATATATTTAAACCTTTACCAAAACAGTTCTTGCTCCATCTGCACAGAAATATATCACAATCTATACCTCAAATATTTTATATATATACACACATCAATATTTATAATGGATTTTTAAATGTGTCACCTAAAGTATATTTTATATGTGTATGCACAGGTGCACATGCATGTTTTTGAAAAGGTAAGTTGTCCTTACAAAGCTTCCTATTTTGAGTGCAGTCCAGGAAAGCTCAAGCTCACAGCTAGTATCCATAAATTATGACAAACACCTTCATTAGCCCAAAGCTTGCAGGACCAGTTCATCTTAAGAGTAATAACATAACTCAGTTCACAGTTGAGCTAGGTTTGCTGTGTCTCACTTGTCTTACCCCTGGAACCCTTTTAATATAAACAATTCCCTTCTTAAAGGCCTGCCATTCTAAACCTGAAAACACTTCTCTGAAAACGTCTTCCACGGTGTTTTCTCCCAAGGTCACATACCTCTAACAGGCTTCACAGCCAGATTTCCAAGACAAAGATATGCTGCATGTAAACATAATATTAAATGAATAAATATATTTGTCCTTGTGCAAGTGCATGGACTGAGAGAGAATGAAAAGCAGATTAGGAAACCCTTTCTTTGGAAACTATGTTTAACATTTTTAAATTATGATTTGTAGAACAGTAATATTTTTTTCCAGCATTACATTTAAATTCTCTTTGCCACAGGAAAAAAACTACTTACAAATGAACTCTCAAAAATTTAGAAGCTAATAGTTTTCCAGTTAATTATAGATTCATTAGTTGAGTCTCCCTGATATGGCTTCATCCTGTAATTTCAAGTTCAATCTGCATGATGAATCACTCCTACTTGGAAAGGAAAGGATAAACACCATGCCATACATGCTCCTTAGAGTCTAAGGAGCGGGAAAATAGGAAAAAAAAGTCAAGTTAGAAGTCAGGTAAGAGCTCAACTACAACTAGTCCTTTACGTCAGCAACTGAAGTTTCCATGACTCCAATGTAAAGTTCTCAGGAAGTATAACTTTTAATTATGTACATTTAGAGAACAGTATAAATGACACACAGACCCATTAGAAATATAGAATTTATTTCTCATTACATTCAGACAGCAATATCTTGCAGATTTGGACATGCCACGTCTCGCATCTAGGTGACTTTTGGAGTCTATGTTTAAAGTTGTGATAGCTATTGCTAGACCAGAAAACACAAAACATGTTTCTGGAGTGGCTCTCTTGAGAACTTTTAAGTCACCAGCAGCAATTTTTGCAGAAAGGTACTCTTGAAAATCCACTTCATAAAAATTCATTATCCAACTGTTTCCTGTATCTTACCTTTACAGTTTCAGAGCTCAGGAAAGCAATTTCAACAACAGCAGTGGGCAGGGGCATTAAGGACTTGCCTCTTATCTTCCCTCAGGTAGCAGTTCTCAGTAAAGGTGATACCATGTTGTAAGGCCACCAAATTCCTCATGGTCCATGAACTGTATTTTTGGCAGGGTAGCTCCTTTCCCATCCTTTTAGGGTCTCTGCAGCCCTTGCTTCCATTCCCTCCTTGCACATCCAGGTGCAAGCTAACCAAAGAGTGAATCTTACAGTTCTGACAACATCCTAAAACATGTTATTTTAAAAACCTACAACAAAAACTCTGTGAGCCACAGGGGGAAAAAAAGACAACATTTTATATTTAAACCTTCAATGTACCAAAAACAAGAGGTATCTTCACAACCCGTTTCCTGACAGCATCTGTTCAGTGTACTTCCCTTCATCCTTAAAAACTCAGACAAACTGGGGTGCTATTTTCCTTGTGTCTCTTAACTCTGCTGGCATTCAGCGTGGGAATACCAGGAGCTGCAGTGCATCATCACATGAAGATGGGGAGGGGCAGGAGAGTGAGAAGAGTGAGTAAGGAGGAATACAGAGACATTGTCCTTGGCAGGCTCTGCACCAGCCATACAGAGAATATGCATACACGTGATGAAGGGTTTTGCTGTTGTCTTGCTCTATTTTTTGTCTTTTTTTTTTTAATTAAAAAACATTATTCCTGCTAAGGCTGGTTGTGCAAAGTTAATTTTCAAGAACGACCATTCAGTCTGACTCTGTTCCTGCAGACAGGCTTGCTATTGATCCATTTCTCACTAGCATCTTGCTGTAGTTTTTCTGCTGTTCTTCTCTGAAAGTATCTTTGACTTTTGCTCGTTTCAGACCTCCATCCCTGGAATAGAGCAAGAGGGAAAAGTAACCCATCAGGACTGTTACGACTGTTGTTATCCAACTATGTATTACATTAACTGTAGAGTCTAAATCTAAAATATTATTATGAAAGTATTTTCTTTAGAACTTCTGTAACAATCCAAAAGTTTAAGCACATTTATTAAAACCTTAAGCCACAATTCATATGAAGTCCAAATGTTGAGTTTAGCCCACTAAAGCAGCCTACTCATGTTGGTAACAGGCTGTACCTACAATAGAATTCTTTGGCAGTCTGGGATGCTGCTTCCCTAGCCTATAGGGACAGTCAATCTTGTGCAACACCAGAGTTGTCTCTTGCCTTATTTCAGAGGGCCAGCTGGGCCTCCTAGTTGGATCCCTTTGCCCACTCTTTTCATCAAAATCTTGCTCTCAAGTTTATTTCATATGTAATCTAGGCATTGTACTGCCACTTACTGAGGTAGGACATGAGAAAGTCAGAGCAGGTAGCCTCAAGCCCTGTTTTCTTTTTTGTTCAGACTTGCCAAGTAACTTCACTTCTGCTACTCATCACAGCAGAAGTCTCAACACAAGAAACAACTGTGAATGGGCTGCTTCAAAAGCATCAAGCCTTTAGGTGAAAATCATTGCATGCTACACACTCCAAAGACTTTGTGCATCTTTAGTTTTACTTTCACATATGTGCATGTGGATTTACTCCTTTGCTTTCTCCAGAGTGATGTCGAATGTTATCTGTCACAAAGCTAAGGGAGGAAGCACCTCTCAATCAAACTAACAGAAAGTCCATGAAGTCTAACAAGGATGGCATTACTCACCAGGGAAGTTCAGTCAGTCCTCCTTGGCGAGCAATGGCTGACCTCACTCTGTTGGCAAACTGAACAGCATCTTCATCTTTCTTCAAGGGTCATAAATTTAACATAATCAAAGCAGAGAGAAGTGAATTGAAATAGACTTTCATAACATTTTTATCTGCTGCCTCATCAAATTAGCTCACTGCCAAATTATCTGTCCCTTATCATGCCAACATCACAATCTGATGTCCCCTTGTGGTAATAATTTAATTCATTTTTCCCTTAAAGTGTTGCAACTATGAGAAAATTTTGCTCCAGCAAGATGATTTGACACTATTGTGATGGTACCAAGCTGCATCAGGAAAAGCTAAATCCAATCATACATCAGTCAACGCTGACAAAAATCTAATATAAAACTCTGATATGGGGGCATGGGGTAGGTAGAGGTTCTGGGGAAAAAGAGTAAAAGGGCCCTTGCAGACACAGTCAAGGTCTTAAATAGCAATTAGTCAGCCAGATGCTAGATTACCTCTCTAACCATTGGTGGCAAGTACCACACGTCACAGACAATGGCCCAGCTTGTCATTATTCGCAGCAGGTAGCTCACGATGTTGTATTTGCTGCTGTTCCAGAATGCATCTCCAAACTGAGGATCATACTGCAAAGGATCACAAAAAACAAATCATAAAACCCTGTCCCCACAGACCATCACAGCCTCCCAGATCTGTGATTACATGACAGAACCAGCAGAAGATGTCACCCATTTGCCTGAACAGCCAAAACACTTAAATCTGCTGCGAGCAGTATGCTTCTCTTCCCTTTAGCACTGGGAAGGAGTAGCTGGATCTCCCTTCCAGCTTTCTGGAGGAAGAAGCTAATCCCATCAGGGACCTACCAGCCAGGCTCCATAGGCCAAATGACTTCACTTTCATTTCAGCCACTTTTACTCCAGGAGTTATCCATAGCACATAGCCAGTTGCCACAGCTACTGTGCCTTCAACAGCAGCTGTACTGAGACAGCTTCCTGCCACCCAGACAAAAACAGATCCCAAATTTCAAAACTCAGCAGCCACCTTTTTCTACTTACTTTGATTGCAACAGGATAGATTGTCCCTCCTATTTCAAAGCTTCCCTTCTTGAACATCATCACAGATGTATTGTTTATGCAGGTGCCTGTCCAGAAGACAAAGTCATTGCTTCACACAGCCTACCACATTTCAGTAACAACACTGCATCAGCATACAGGTCTTGCCCATAAAGGCCTGCATTTGCTGCTCAGGGAGTGCAACTAAAGCATCTCTCCCCTCTTTACTTTTATCCTTTGTCTTGTGACTGACTCCCTGAATAAAGCCCAAATGTGTGTGAGACAAAAAACACAGTGCTGAATTTAAATCTATAGGACAGTGAATTGATATTCACAGGGCAAAATAAACAGTCTTTCCATTCTTCTGCCTATAGCTTCTGTCAGGAGAACCAACAGCCAGAGACAGTATTGTGTTGTCTCCATGTTTATGCCATATTTGAGTAGCAGAAGCCATGAAAAGAGAACAGGAATGACATCTACTTTGAATGGAGATAAGTAGTTCAGCTTCTTACCTTCTGGAAAAATTAAAATTGGAAGCTTGCTTTTATCCGCCACATGTTCCCTGAGTCTGTGGAAGCAGAAGGAAAGCTTAAAAGACAATTCCTTTCCAGTCTTCTTTCCCCAGGCAGGTGCATTAAAAATACGCATACATATTATGTATTTGTTTGAAAGCAAAGGCTTTTACTAGACACTAATTTGTACTTGCTTTTCTGTTTATAAGAAAACTGAAGCTTTGTGCAAGCCACCCCTTAGGCCTGTGGTGCATTACATTGAGGCAACATCCTGTTTTCCTTCCTCTATATTATTTTATTAATGACTGTCAGGGAAGCCGACAAATGTACGCCATTAAGTCAGTCCAACTAGCTCTGATCAACTCAAGCTTCAAGAAATTACCCACATAAGAAAAAAAAAAATTGTGCAGTGGTCCATCCAGGCTCTGCTTACTTAACAGTAGATTTCATAAAAAGTGAGTTCCTAAATGCCTACAACCCACATTATTTGAATAACACTTGGATAACTTGGCAAATCTGTCCTGGCTGTGCAGAGGCCGATAAGAGGTGGTAAAGAAGTTAACCTGTCAAAATAAACCTAAAAGTTCTTTAAAAATTAGGAAGAATTTCTATCCCTGTACTACCATGTCCACAGGTATGCCTTTGGTGACATTCTGCAGAAAACCATTTTTTGTAAGCACCTCATTCTTATAATTAGACAGATTCTGCCCCTCACCCAAACAAGTGAAGCTTGGTATTTCCAGTGGCTCACAATTTCGAATGAAACTGAGAGTCTGTATCACAGATAGCCCATTTTATGATCAGTATTTCCCTTCAACAGAAAGTCCCAGAATTTAAGTATCTTCACATCCCTTCAAAACATACATCTGAATACACCAGACATTAGTTACTATGCTGATGGCTACCCAACTGAGATGTTTTGTGGCAGTTTGCTCTTCAGACCTTATCAGAAACTTTTGGGCTCATCCATTTCACCCTGTATAAACTTTTCAAGCTTCCTTGGTGACCCGGGCACCAGACATCTTTACCAGTCTACTGCACCAAAGCCCACACAAACAAGCATATTCAGGTCATTCTGACTGATCCAGTTTCCTGCATACCACCCCTGGAACTCATTCCAAAAACCCTCGTCGGGGTCTTTGATTGTCCAGGGAGTCGGGCACCGGGAAATAGCAGACACACCATCCCACGCCTCACCTTTTCGTCACTAGATGGCGATCCTTGATCTCGGAGCGTTCGAACCAGACGTGAGGACAGGCCTTGACCGTGGCTCGCTGGATGACTCCCATCAGCCCACCATGAACCTGGCCAACCTGCAAGCCCAGCAAAGCACATCAGCATCTAAGACACTTGAAAAGCAGAACCTCCTCTTCTCCATCCCTCTTAAAAAAAAACCCAAACTGTGCACTGGAGACTGCACACCAGGATCAAGCAGCAACCACAAAACTGTTAAACTGCATTCACTTGAGAGGACCTAGGCACACACAGGGAAGAGTATCCCAAGTATTTCACCAGACAAAGAGCCTAGCACTGACACTGCCAGGACAACTTCACCAGCATGTAACTTGCAGACCAACTTCAACACCAGTGCTTAAGCAGACATATCTAAACATGAAAGTTTAGCACTGAAGTCTGCAACCAATACCCCACTCTCTTTCCCTCTCATGGTCCCTCCTCTCCCTCTGCTGTGGTCATCATGGATCTGCTCATACCATTGCATAGCATCCATCATTTGTCAGAATGATTGCATCTATCGGTGATGTGTGGTTGGCAACACAAATTCCTCCTTTCTTAGGTCTGTTTTCCCTGCAAGCACATATTTTTTTGTTAGACTACTAGTGCACTACACACCACTTTACAGACAACAGCTCCATAAAGCTGCCAGGTGACTCAGCACTGAGTGTGACATTAAGTTGCAGGTAAAAAAGGAGCAGCCCCCATTTCAAATGGGATGCTCACACACACAGAAGTATACACACACTTCTGCTATCATCACTCACTTGTTATGATAACGGATAGTGCCAGACAGAGCTCTGACGAGGATGCGGGAACACGTGAGGTGGACCACTTCACTCAGGTAGTTTTTCACACTGAAAGAAATCACAGACATTTGGAGCATCCTGGAGAGCAGCTAGATACATATACAATATTCTCCAGCCTACTCAACACAACTCAGGACTGAAGTTTTCCTGGTGTTCTGGAGCACAGAGGGATAATTCCCAGTTCTACCACTCACGTGCTATTGCAGCTCAGCCAAGGTATGTCATACTCTTGGTGTCACTTATCTAGGCAAGGCTGTAATCTCCTTACTGGATCTTTTCCATCCCAACACCAATACCTCCCCTACAATGCTCCCTTTGAGTCTCTCATGACAGCAGGAGGAGCCCATCAGAGATCTCAGTGCCAAGCCTGGCAAGAAGCCAACCTCAGCCCAAATTCAAAATGCCGCTAAAAGCAAGGTCACAAATTTGTGGTTGGAATGGACTATCAATAGTCTGTTGTTTGTAAAATCTGTCCACCCCAAATCTTCAGCTGTTTGCACTGATGTAACTTGGCAAGTTCACCCCTCACACACAGTACCTACCTGCTGTTTGGCAGCTGTCCTACCAGTGTTGTTCCCACAATCATTGACATAATCCCGATGGTAGCGAGTGTAATGCTACACAAAACACAGACATTAAATCAAAATAAGTAGTTTTATTTATTGTAATAACACTTTCTCCCTACAAAATAGAAAGGGATTGCAGAAATTCAATTTATTCCTCAGATACCTGACTTATCCAGTTCTCTAACTCAGTAATTCCCTGACTTGTTGCTCAAAATCATGGTCTAGTGAAGGCAGAAGATTCAGATACTGCCATGCATAAAGTGTCAGGGAGCTTTAGAGCTCACTCACCTTACACTTATACTACCAATACATATGACTATGGGGAAACATTCATAGGAAAGATGACTTAGCCCTAATCTACTCCCCACAGTGAATGGCAAGACGAAAGTATTCTGAATGGCATCTTAAGCAGGTTAATCTTCTGTATCTGCCAATGCTGCCTTTCGACTAAAAAAAGCTGAGATGACATTTACCAAGAAAACACAAATTTACGCATTCCCAGGCTGCCAAGATCCCTCAGCACCCAAAAGCTTACCGTAGGGGCAGCAGGAAGCAGTACCGCACTACAACCCCAATGACCCACACAATAGTCAGCCTCAGGCTGATGTAATGGAAGTTGACATTAGTCCTTGTGAGGAGATTCCAGGAGAGCAGCTCTTCTGAGGAAAACCTTTGGGTGACTTCATCTTCCACAATGGCCTCAAACCCTTTTCTGCAGAAGTAGAAAATGTCAGAGAATTCGAAATTCACTGGATGCAGACGGGCAATTTCTTTCTCCATAGGCGTTTCATCTCTTTCAATGATACCTTGGGAAGGAAAGGGTAACCACATGAGGAAATAATTCTATGAATTAACAGTCACTCTGCATTACCCAAGGAGATACACTGACTGCCAGAGTCCCTCCTATGACAGCAAGATCAGCTGGGTAGTTGATCACAGCATACTCTTCAGGAGGCCAGTTCCAGCTCCCCTTCCTCACATCAACTTCTTGAGCAGCAAATACATCAAGTTCTGTTGCCTACTGAACATGAAGCAAGAACACAAACCCTTTCCCACCATCTAACATGCTCTCAACTCTGCAACTTTATGCAAGGCCATCTTGTGCTTTCAGAAGAAACCAAGTGAGACCTTGTCCTTTACATTCCCTTCTGTGGTCTGTATATTTATAAGCATTTATTCTCAATGGAGGCTTTCCTGTTCTCTAAGCCCACCTCATCTTATATTGTGGTGTCCCACAGCCACATTCAGCTGAAATGTGTTCTGCTGTTACTTGCCAAAGCCCCAGACCACAACACTGTGCACAGACCAGCTTTGAACCAAACGCACCTTCCTCCCTTCAGAGCACAAGTCTTTCCTCCAAGGAAGTACAGCACACATTTTTTTTTTTATTTTTGTTAAAATCAAACAAAGAAAAACCCTCCAGAAACACAACAAAGAAAGTCATGCCTAGAGGTGCCTTACTATAATTTACTTCAGCCCTAACAGTTGTGTTTCAGTTGAACTCTGACCACTTAATGCCTGGTAAAAGACAAGAAACCTGGACAGTTCAGAACAGCAGTAGCAATAGCAAGTATTCTCTCTTCTCCTCCCCTCTTTTCACTTTTTATATTTATGGTCTGATAAGCTCCAATTTCTCACTAGAGCTTTCAAAGGCAAGGACAAATTGTGTAAGCTAAACATAAAGATCAAGTAGCTGCTTTCTGGTAAGCAAGTCTGGCTCCAGAAACTGATGACTGAAGAAATTTAGAGTAACAGTTCACCAGAACAACCATCCCCTGAGACACTCGACTTGGATTACAGAGGTCCAAGTTCAGGCTGCCACTCTGTCAGACATTCTCTGACAAATTGCATAATCTTTGTGCTTCCATGCTGAGATAAGGGAAAGGACGTAGCACCAACTTCTTTGGGCTACTAGGAACTTTCCACATTGCAGAATGTGTTTTTGTAGGAAATCTGCATCCCAATGAAATCTTGCCAGCAGAAAAACTCAAACATATTTGCTGTGCAAATCACACACAACATTTAAATTACAAGTGATAGGGAAAATCTTTGTATTGCAGTGTAGCATATAACATAGGAAGCTCCAAGATGCAAGTCCCACTAATTACTAAGGAAAACACTAAAGAACAACATCTAAGAGATGTCACACTGAAACAAAACCTATTAGCACCTTCAGCTTTGAACCTGGCAGCCATGACTTCCAATTCCACCACCCCACCCCACCACATCATCCTATCACAAGCCTACAGATATAAATCATTAATACGGCACACCAAAAAAACCCACACGCCCTTCAGGATCTAAATTATACAAGCATGCATCACATCAAACATTCACCAAAATAGACTACACTTATGATGTATTTTAAACCTAAATCAGAGCTCTAGTTTGTGGTTCAATTTTTCTCAGACAGTCCCTTAAACCTCTTAACTGTGAACCATCCAGGACTGCAGGCAAATGAGTCCAGCCTGTCTGCTCCATACTGCTGGAGACAGGTCATAGGCAAGAAACCAGGAGAACTATCTAGCACCCATCACACAAGTACCACTCTTCTCTCCAGCTGCCAGAACTAGGAACATTTCCTCCTTATCCAGACTCTGGTTAAGCACCAATCAAGCATCTGGCTCACCTGGCTACAACTTCGCTGAAACCAGCCCAGGGTTCAACATTATCTGCTGGCAAGCTGAGAAAGCACAGCTGTACTGTCTTGCCTCATCAGCCTGCACTGTCCTTGTCACATGACACCCCCATGCACCAGCCCTGGGACAAGCCAGGATCTCAGCAGCACACGAAGGTATTACGAACAGAATGATAACACATGCTGCTCTGGTCATGTACTTAGCCTTCTTGTAATCACAAGGAACACTTAATGGCCTTTAATCCTTGGCCACGGGCAGAGTTGAGTTTGCCTAAGACAGCACTATGCAGGAGAACAGCCAACATCACTCTCAACCAAACAAGAAGCCATAGCAGCAGCTTTACTCAGTGTTGCTGCACAAACCCCAAGCCTTCACAAGCTCACATACTCTACTAATATTATTTGCATAAACTTTTATTATGGATGTAATTTTCAAAACTGACTTAATAGCATTTTTGTCTTTTTTAAACCCACCAGCTTGAAGACAACGCAGCCAACACCCACATAGAGCTGAGAGCTGCTTAATCAGCTGCAGTGAGATAGGCATCAAGCCTCCAGCTACCTGCTCAGCCAAGAGCTACCAATGGCTCCAGCACAAACACACTGCCCTGTAACACAGAGGGACCCTGAGGTGACAGAACCAGGTAATTGCCCAAGGAAACTACATTTCTCCCTGGAATATTCCTTATCACACCACTGGTGCAGAGGGAGTGGCTGCCATTTCTGCCAAGAGATGTGAAATATACTGGGTTTGGTACTGCAGAGGAGGGTGGTGTCTCCTCAATTGTGCTGTCACCTTTTTGTCTTTTTTTTTTTTTATTATTGACAGACACAATTTTAAGGTGTTTCAGGAAGACCATTTTTTTGCAGGCAGAGCAAATTTGGCCTTGCACATGCATCTACAATGCTCCCTCCTACCCTGACCCACCTCTTAGTGATGACTGGATGGTCAGGAAAGATGGAGAAGGTGATACACACTCCCCTTCAACGCTTAACATGCACATGCATACACACAAACATTTACCTTTAACCCGTTTTAATCAACTACTCTGTAACTCATTATCAGCAGGAATTTCTCCTCCCTCAGTAAATATTGTGTAATGCAGTTGCGCCTCTCTGCCTGCTCATGTTCTGTCACCTCAGGGGATGCCAACTTTATATAATGCTCTGTTAGACCTACACCTGCCCTGACCCTCCCGCACATTCATCCACATAGAGGAATCCATTCTCCTAATCACAAGTCAGTTATTCCTACGCTTAGAATACTCCCAAGAGCAATACACAGAGCACAGTTTGGCACAGCAGGCTTCACTCCCCTGCTTCCCATATCTTCTCAGTAAGGAACAGTTAAGACTCTAGCTTCCTGAGAAAAAGCCACCTAGAGTAGGGAAAGGTTTTAATTTTTTATTTCAGATACAAAAAGGACATTAAAAAGTGGTGCCACCATTGCAACTGTGTATCCCCATCCATAAGACCACCTGAGCACAGCCCTCATGCAATCATCTGCATGAATTATCTCAGACCACTTTCACTACCACTGGTGCTGCTCCAGACAGTGGAGTACACTCAATTTAGTCCAGGTTCTGTACCGTGGCATATATTAACACTATACACCCCTCAGTCACACACAAGAGAAACAGCTATTTGAAGTTTCCTGGAAAGATAGCTCATTGATAAATCTACTAACTGGGACCTCTCTCCCTTTTCTTTTCTAGAGAAGAAATAATTACGTGTGAGAATGACCAGATGTCTATGAAGACAAAAGTTCCTACTGCATGGCTAAAGCAGCACAGCTGGATCTCTTGCCCTCCCACTGACCCATGGTATGATGGGACAATACTAGCCTTACGGGAAGAAAAGGGGTATCTTGCTGCATCACTGACAGCCTGTGAAGCAGATAACAGGGCACTGACATTATCTGGAAGGACTTTGCCTTCTCCCGCCATTCCCCAGAAACACCCCACAACTTTCAGGACACTGGTGAGTGATATAGGAGGTACTTTTTCTCAGCCACTTTAAAGTCAGCAATTAAATAAGACAAGTTTTAAGCTGTTTTTAGAGCTGCTGGGCAGTATCTCCAGTTTATTATTACAGGTGCTGACAGTTGCATCTGCTACCATCAAATCCTGTTTCATGCCTGGCCTGCAGATAGTACAATACCAGTGTTTACAGTATTGATAAGGATACTCCTCCGGAGATGAAACACGCACAACCAGTTTAGCAATTCAGTCCCCATTACTGCGTCATGTTTGCATGAGCTGATTCCTAGAATCAGGTAACAACTGACTTGTCTACTAACTGGCAAGCTGGGCCTGTTTCCAGCTATGCTGCCTAACGAGGGAGCACACAGAAAATGCTGACACTGCTGCCAAATGCTGTCAAAAATGAGCAAATGATTAGCAGTACTGAGGCATCCAGGAACCAAGAGAAAACCAACTGCTGGCTGCAACGCCTTTTTGAGCCTTCTCCTGTTTCCTGGGCAAACTCAGACTGCTCTCATAGCTCCAAAGTCTTACAGCCAACTCTGACCTACTACAGCCTACCAACTGACCTACTACAACCCACACAGAGTATGGGTTAGGATACCATAAAAGAACTAATTTCAAAATTAGGCTAAAGGAAGAGTTATGAAGCAACTTTTCAGCTGTCTTTCTACAGACAAGGAGTGTAAGAAATTTGACAAACACTGATATAAACTCCAGGGGGCAAAAGGTCAATAGCAGCAGACTGAAAAAGGGGAACAAGTATAATACCACACACTTCAACCTGGCAGACCTACCACAGAAAAGCACTGAGCTTGGGAAAAACAAGTACTGTCCAATAAACATTCAGATCTCCTCATAGAATATTTTAAGTGTGTTCTGATGCTGTTAGGACTGAGACAGCTGGCCAGCAACCCTGCAAAAAGTGACCTAAAGAGATTTCAAGATAAAAATCAACCTTATATTTAAAATTGAAAACTTCTATCAACTGAGGATGGTCTCCATCTTAAGCTCTACTGTGTTTTGTTATACTTAATGTTATTTCATACACTTAATTTCCTCCTGGTTTTCAACCATTCAGTACAAGCCAGTAAAAGAAGCATTTCGCCCTGCAGGAACAGTTTGAGTGCAGCATGTCAAAACAATTAGATGTATCAGAGTCCTGGTTTTGGCTGGGGTAGAGTTAATTTTCTTCATGGGGGCTGGTACAGGGCTGCATTTTGGATTTGTGCTGAACACAGTGATGATAATACAGAGATGTTTTTGCTGTTTCTGACCAGGGCTTACACAGAGCCAAGGCCTTTTCTGCATTTCATACTGTTACACTGCTGAAAGATGTTGGGAGTGCATGGAAGGCTGGGAAGAGACACACCCAGGACAGGTGACCCCAACTGACCAAAGGAATATTCCAAACCCTATGGCATCATGCTCAGTATATAAAGTGGAAGGAAGAAAAAGGAAAGGGGACATTTGCAGTGATGGTGTTTGTCTTCCCAGGTACCTGTTCCGCGCGATGGGGCACTGCTCTCCTGGAGGTGGCTGAGCACCTGCCTGCCTGTGGGAAACAGTGAATGAATTCTTTGTTTTGCTTTCCCTATTAAACTATTTATCTCAACCCACAAGTGCTCTACCTCTTACCCTTCTGGTTCTCTCCCTGATCCCACTGGAAGGGGAGTGAGCAAGTGGCTACATGGGGCTTGGGGGCTGGCTGGGGTGAAACCACAACATACATCATGTACCCACCCCACCTATTTTCCAGTTCTCTCATGCACACATCTAACTAATTTATTTGAAAAGGACTCAGTACTCTAACTGCAGAACATCAGTCTTATCAACTGGACTTCACCCCAGGCTCTCACCATTAGCAGTAGGAGTCTTCAGCATCTGTGGCTGTGGCTTTTTGACACCTTTTTCTATCCGTATAGTGGCCCACTGTAGAACAGAAAGGAAACATTAATTTCAAAAATGCAGTATTCACTCAAGGAAGAAAAGTCACCTAAAAAAAAAATCAAAGACAGGTTGTGATTTTCGAAGAATATCTTCACCAAGTAATCATCACCCATCTTCCTCAGATGTGTTCACAAACCGAAACCCATAGACACTTCCTATGAAGAAACGAAGAAATAAAAAAAGCAAACAAACAAAAAACCAGGACAAGCCCCCACCACCACTCATTGCTAGTCAGTACTTCCCAACTGTGCCTGTCAGTCTTCAGAGAGCCAACTCAGAGCTTCAGTTCCAGTTCAGACACAGCCATCAAGAACCTGAAAGGCCCCTGTCAGCCTTGCTACTTGCACACCAGCCAGCGAGCCCAGGCTGCATGGGAAGCTCCAGGAGCTGAGCTAGACAACACCCCTTGAGCACACAGTACACATTCACAAAGCTGACAGACACATCACAACTCCACCAGTCTTCTTTCAGAGTAGTTTCACCATACTGAAGCAAAAAAAAGTCCTAACTGGGTTTCGGCCTGCACACAGCTAATTCCACTAAAAACCAAGACAGCATTTGCAGTCACAGGACGCTTCATTTACATGCAGTCTCAGTACAAAAAAAAGGACTGCACCCAAGATTTTTCCAAGCTGAACAAACTTAAAATTCCACTTGACTCTGCAACTGCTCATTTCTTGGTATTTTCATAGAAACATAGTGGTTTGGGTTGGAAGGGATCTTCAAGTTCATCTAGTTCAAAGTCTCTTGCCATGGGCAGGGACACCTTCCACTAGACCAGGTTGCTCAGAGCCCCATCCAGCCTGGTCTTGAACATCTCCAGGAATGGGGCATCCACAACTTCTCTGGGCATCCTGTGCCAAGGCCTCACCACCCTCACAGTAAAGATTTTCTTCCTGATAACTAATCTAAAATCATCCTCTTTCAGCTTAAGGCCAACCCCCCTTGTCCTATCACTGTATGCCCATGTGAAAAGTCCCTCTCCAACCTTCTTGTAAGCCCCCTTCACATACTGGAAGATGCTATAAGGTCTCCCCTGGGCCACCTCTTCTCCAGGCTGAACAGCCTCAACTCTCTCAGCTCTAATTTTAGAGCTCTGAGCAGCAGAGGAACAGGCCAAATCCCCAGTTCTATTGATACAGCTGCAAAGAGCCCCTTCTCCTGCCCTTGGGAAGGCCTGCCAGCTCACTGGGATTAACCTGCTCTTTTCCAGTGGGTGGGCTTAGAGAATGAGATCGCAATAGGTGATAAAGTAAACTCTGCTCTCTAATCAATGTCAAAGCTTCCCGGCTGACCTGCTTCCTGCAAACACCCCCCCACCCCACCCTCTCCCGGCAGGACCACACCAGAATCAGGAGATTTCCTCTTTTCCTCTCATTTCCAGTCCTAGTGAGGCTGGAACCAGTTTAACCTGTTCTCAGGCCAAAAGGCTTTCTTGACCTTCATCTGACTCAGTTCCACAGAGTGCTTTTATTACACCCTGCTATCTCAGCTTCATTTTTACTGGGTTAACAATTACACCCCCTTTTCCACCCCAAAGCCTGTGATGTCAGAGTAGCCCTTCTGGCCTGGATCCTTCCTTTCCCTACATGGTAGCTTTGTGAAGGGATGGAAAGCTCAGCCAATGAGGGCTGACTCTGTGGCTCCCCACTATGCACATTAATTCCTCCTCCACAGGACTTCATACTATTTCTAGGAATATAATAGGCATATTCAAGATAGACAGGGGATCTGGGAGAAATGAGCTCATATGAGAAGATCAGGTTATTATCCTGTTCACACCTTAACAATTTAAGCAGCCTATTTTTTTAACAGCATACAGATGATGCTCACTGGTCTGCACAGGAAGGACCCAGACCAAAGTTAAACCATGCATTTTCCACCTCTCCACTCTAACCAAACTGTGGGGTGTTTGGAGATGCAGTTCCCTTTTGGAAGGTCAGCATCCTGACTCGTGGCATTATCTCTACCACACAATTTCCCAGTACGAGCCAGTACTGCTTAATGTATCAAGTCTTGCTGAATCACAACTTAATGGCCAGTCTTCACGAGCGAAGATCCGGGGAAGGTCTTTACACCTTCCAGCCTGCGCATTGGATTTTTTAGGTGAGACACAGTGTGCGCGGAACTGAGCCCACCCTTTAATCCTAAGGTTCATCTGCCGGGGCCAAGCGAGCTTGGACGGTGGCAGCGAGGTCCTCAGGACGTAGATGGATTACCTTTTTACAGGGTTAACGAGCTCCATCTGCCCGGGGAGTGTCCCTGACCGGGAATTGAACCCGGGCCTCGGCGGTGACAGCGCCACGCCCTTAACCACTAGACCACCAGGGGCTCCCAATCACAACTTACCCTGCCAATATAGTCACTTGTTTTCTCAGTTCTGCTGCTGCTAAGGCAATAGGTCTTCCAGGAACTCAGTACTTTCTGGCTATACAACATCCTCAGTAGTGTTATGACCATAAAAGTTCTGGGAAATACCAAACCAAAATACTGTTCAGTGAAGAAACTATTCACAATACTGTCATTTCTACATTTCTTCTATGAAACAGGTTTGGGGGTGCAGGAAGACCTGCACTCACAATCATCCTCTGACCAAGCTTGAACCACTGAATTCAATTAATTAAAATCTCCACAAACAGGTAAGTCACTTATCACATAGAAGAGAAAGAACACACTTGGCTAATGGTCTCAGCCAAATACACTAACAGAAATAATAACTTTTCATTTTTCAAATTCTCTCAGAGGGGTACCTGGAAGAATATTTTCTGCTTGGTGTTTAGAAAGAGCATGCAACAGTCCTCTCACAAAGCTTTTGCTACAGAAATCCTGCAGTTATGAGTTCGTGCTAGACAGTGTCAACAAGGACACAGGTTGAGACAAGCCTTTGTAAGGCTCAAAAGCTTGCAACATGCTACTGTGCTGCAGTCTCTTTTGTCATTTTACTATGCAAAGGACAGAGAGGACTTTTCCCAAAGCAGACAGAAATTGCAGGGTCATGTAACTCAAGTCGTTTTCTACTGCACAGATACGTTTATCAACCCTACTGCAAAAAGTACATTCCTGACCTTAGCTCCACAGGTTTATCTAACTCCAGAAAGGCACAGCAGCCCACCCTGGTGGGGGGGGGAAGCGGAGAATATGGCAGAGAGGCTAGAGCAGATAGCTCCCTTTGCCTTCTACCCATGCCTTCCCAGGAGATGGGAGCACTGCCACGGGCTTGACACCAGTGTGGTATCTCGTACAAAGGTTGTGCAGAGCATTCCAGGGGACAGCTGACTTGTGCTCCACTGGTCAATAGCTGAGGCAGTTTTATGTTCCATGCCAGGTCTCCCATGGGATTTAAGTCCACTTAATAAAACAGACAAGGATGAGACCAGCTTCCCCCTCTTTGCCAGGAGCCTTTGGGCATTCAAGGATCCACATCTATAGCAAACAAGTTTTAAGTCCTCTATGTCAGCTTTCTTCTTCCCTCAATCCCCCATATTTCCAAAATATGTGCATGTTCCAGCAACCAAGCAGCAAGATATTTTTACTTAACTTTAACTTAACATCTAATTCTTCCACTTATTCTCAGGCACCTGAAATAACGACACTATCATCAAAGCCAAAATCTGAACTTTGATCAAGTGAAAAGCTTGTTTATATCCAGGTTGAAAAACAAAAGAGACACCACATGCAGCAGTGTGAGTAATTTCCCTTCCTTCCTGCAAGCTAGGGATATGTACCATCCATCGCTGTTTCAGCTGGTTCCTATGCTAAAGGACAACTGTACAGTATAAAGAGTGATCACAATATGAGCTGATCCATCCTACAGAGGCGAAAATAATGTGTATTAGAGATCAAAAAGCATGAAACAATTACAAACCACAGTCTCCATTCTACTCAGGAAATGAACAAAAAGTAGACTGGCAGGTCTTCTGGATCTATCAGTAACAACACAAAACTAGGTGGCTTTTCCCAGCTTGTGAGCTGATGATGAGCAGGCAGTTTTAAATACCTTGGTGCAGACCAAAGTTTTTAGTAGGGATTCTTGAAGATGCTTTTTGGAATGAGTATAAAACACCAGGCTCCTGAGCAGATTAAAAACAGTTCTGCATCTGGGGTTACACCTCCTGGGGCTACCCACAGAACTACAAATGTAGTTAGAAAGCAGCATGATCACATAACTACAAACATCACCACAAGTCTGATTTTGAAATTTCAATATTCCAGCTGCTCTCAGCAAAGTAGCTTGGATGCTCTAAATCGCAAGGCAGAATCTGAAGATACTACACTTCACTAGGCAAGGAAAACACTTTTTCCTGAAAAGGCCTCCCTCCTCATCTCCCTAGAAAAGGTCTTTAACTTATCCACATCTTAAAAAAAAAAACAAAAAAAAACCAAAAACAACAAACCAGAAAAAAAAATACACACACAAAAAAACCAACAAAAAACCAAACCAAACCAAACAAACAAACAAAAAAAAACCACAAAAAAACCAATAACAAAACCAATTTCACATATACATCACTGAGCAATTGCCACATGTACAGGGACCTATGCAGTACTTGAGACAGATACAGTCAAATGTCAGAGTCAAAAATCACACATTATTTACAGGAGATGTGAAAAACCCTTCCTAACTCCTAACTAATAAGACAATTGTCCAAATAGACAGCTACCTCCAAAGACAAGCTTGACATATTGTTTCATGAAAGCACATCTAGAGATACTTTGTTAGGATCAAAAGTCAAGTTATTAGGAACACTTCAGAGATTTCCCCTGTTTTCCTAACAGATGGAGCTTAGCCTTTCACCTCATTTACCACCTTTACATCACCTCTGCCTTAATAGTAATGTTTGATGCTTATTCAGAAGAAGAGAGATGACTGAAATCTATAGTCATGTGGAGTCAGACCACTGGTGTTTAAAGGCACTACCAGATAAGAGCCAAAAATTTATATGGTAGTTTAGGTGAGTACGCCTCCTTGGAGTCTCTCCAAA